AAATGTCAGTTTGTCCCAGAATAAATAATGTAGCACTTGTGCTGAAAACAAAACCAGGATAACTTGAGATGCATATTGAAATTAGACGCAGTTTTGGAAATTAAGACAGGAAAGTATATTAACCGACATGTACAAATTAAGGATCATTATTGTTACACGTAATTTATATTGTAGTTTCGCCGTGTTGTACATTATTAAACAAGGGTTTGAATCCAATTAAAGGTTTAAGCAACTTTAAAGTGAGTCAATAACGAGCAATTATGAACTTTCAACTATTGTTCCACAATATAGTAATCTAATTAAGTTAGTCCTCGTCAGAAGGACATGTATAAGTGATAATTGAAATTAAGCACATGAGGAATAATTGTGTTTCCTGATGGAAAATCAATTTTTAAAAGCAGAAATCATCTAAACCTACCCCCAAAATTGTTTACAATTACTTACAACAATTTAACTTTTTAGTATTTAATGGCTGTCTCATTTATGAGCAGTTGATTCATGGCAAGGAAAATGGCGTTGAGATGTTGAGGTTTCCCAGAATATAGAGCGTGTTTCCCATACCGCTTTCCAGATAAAAAATAAATAAATCTATTAAAAATCCATTAAACATTTACATTTCGTACTCATGAAAACATGGTGAAAACCGTCGTAAACGACTGTATCATGTTACCATCAAATTCGGAGATGATGGGAAGGATAAGTCGACAGAACATAACTGAAAGTTTGGCATCTGGAGTGATTGAGCTGAGGAGATCGAGTATCGATATGCTATCTGCTGAAATCTCCGGCAAAGAGTTCCTTCGACAGATATCTAATGCGCGGCCTTGCATCAGAATTGCAAAAACTTCTACTTATTCTGCGGCGGGAAGGAAAGAAGGATTTTAATGAAAGCTCTGCTTGGGAATCCAGACCACTCGACTTAAAGTCGGTATCCATTACCATTAGCAAGATAAAAAAATCTCCATAATATCGCGTATCTTTTATCATATCGTGGATAAAGCCATTCGTCAAAATGGGCCAGTAAAATAAAGGGTATCTACAGTGCGATTAAAAAAATATATAAGTAGTAATAAAGATACGATATTTTCATATATGTACTTTTAGAGTAACTCTTCTTGCTTCTTTTGGTGCAAGTTGCACTGGATTAGTTTTCGTGCATGACTACACAGGAGAAAGGGGGTCGGGTGAAATCTGACTTGCGCCAACTGGGCAGGGCTGGATATTAAAGAAAGAGACAAAATAAACTTCATTAGCTTTCAAACTTCATGTTTGTTTAAAACATTTATGACAATTACATTTCACAGTGTCTTAGTCCTCAACATGGCCACCATCTCGTTCAACGCACAGCTGGGCTCGGCGCATGATCATTCCTGAAACAGCACGGCGACCCATGACCTGCAGAATCATGACCAATGGTCGTGTTTCTTTTTAATTGTCTCTTTATTATCCAGCCCTGACCAGTTAGCGCAAGTCAGATTTCACCTGCAGGAAGCATGAAGAGTTACTCTGAAAGCATATATGAAAATGTCTTATCTATATTGCTATACACAATAAAACACGGCAATTGGAAAAGTGCGTAGTTTTTTTTACTCGCACCGTATAATCAAACGCCCTCAGTTACACCAGTGCAACTTTAAATCACATACATTCGGTTTTAAAAACAGGAATAAAGTAACAAACTAAAAGGAGTGAACCACAGTCTAGGCATTTGGCTGTCAGCACAGTCTAGGCATTTGGTTATCAGTCTAGGTATTCGGTTTTCAATATCAATGAGTGATCGTGTAATTAGTTTCTATCAGAACTCTTTTATATCGCACATCAATTCATCTTTTCCATTATGTTCCAGTGTCTTATACGACAAATAAGTTTCATGATTCCGATAACAGTTTGTTACCAAGACGTGACGGAGTGCCTGGTCGTGACGCTGCCGGGTAAGCAGTTTCCCCTTCGTTACCACTACAACGATGATTCATGCTTCCTTCACTTTTGGCGTCTCACTAAATATCTATACGGGCCGTAACCATACGTCAACCGATTCATCTAAATCAACATTTTAGGATGGGAATACTTGAACCAATGAATAATAACATTGATATAAATAGCAGCTGAAGCGTAATAAAATACTATAGCCTATATAACATATTCAGCCAACAAATAATATAGTACAATCCAAACATGTTGCGCTAATGATTGGTATTTCGCCAAATGTTGGGAAAAATACCAACTGCCTTCACTTGGGGAAACTTCCCAAAATTTGGTCAATAATTACCCGAATAAACAAACAATTCGGGTAATTTCATACTAATGTTGGGCAGAAAACATTGCCCCACAGTATTTTACTCAATAGTAAAAGAACACTATTATGTGCATTTCATGTCGATATTTTTATTCAATTTAATGAATGAAATACTGCACAAGTTGTACTTGTTGAGATTCAGTCGAAACCCTGTTAAAATTTGATATGATATTACCAAATTCTGCTAAAGAAAATTTCAAAAATGTGTGAATCCTTGCAAACATAACTGTGACCTGAACTCTATTTACATTTTCCCTCTTAAATGCAGTGCCACACCCAAGTCATGTACTAAAACTAAAAGATTTGCATCAAGTTCGAAAGCAGATCTTTTTGGACTAGGGTTCAAGATGGATTCACGATTACAGTCGATCTTTTATAGAACAGCCACCACCTGGCTTGTGTCTGAATTCTGAAATCATCCATGTGATTGTCCGCCTTCTCATAGGTCTTCAAATCTTAGCGATCATTAAGCGCGAAATGCTGTAAACAGGATGTTCCACAAAACATATTTTCACCCGCTATTTCCCCTCATTTCAGTGCCTCACGCATCCAATCGAAGGTGTTCATACAGTATTTGAAAGTAGCAGATCTTTCGAGACTTGGGTCCAGACGGATTCACGATTTAAGTACGTGTTTAGAACAGTCACCTGGCTTGTGTCTGAATTCTTAAACCAACTGTGGCTGCTTTCCTAAATTATAATTTGTGTTCTCCGTTTTGTAGATCTTCAAACATATTCGCGATCATTAAGCGCGAAAAATGCTGTAATTAGGAAATCCTTAACATATTTGTTTTTCACTACAAGTGGGCTATAGGGCCTACACACGTGCCCCAAAACGTGATTTTGTTGAATATTCGAATCATTGCAACATCGGTCCTACACAAAGAAATTATAGCTGTGTGAACGAGAATGTACTGTTTCTTGGTGTTGAGACTTTGTGTTGAGACTTTTAATTTTGTTTACATCGTTGAATTTCTAATTGATTGGTTTTAAAAACAAATGGTGGCATGAGAAAGAGCCAAACCTGTCAAGCGCATCAAATCGTAAAGTCTGCTTGATTTCAAAGTAAACAAGGTATTACCTTTTTTCTCCTTATATCAAATGAAAATAAAATAATGGGATTATGTATGTAACACAACAACTTGCACCTAAAAAAGTTTGCAGTTATAAAATCAGTTGAGAACTGGCTTTTGAGTAACAAGGTAACCTGTGAAAATATGGTTTTAGTCGACAACCACGTAATTAATTAAACCTTGGTGACAAAATGGTGTACCTCCATGGAATGCAGTGTGACTCCATGTACGCGTTCAATTTAAGGTTGACACTGAGCTGGGACGTTTCAATGCCCGTATATATATAGCCGAGGTAAACATTAGAGCCTTAATCATCACATTCGCCCATTGAAATGTAAACAAGACAAGGCAAGTCTACTCAAATAAAGCCGGTACCAGAGCGCACATGGCTATTCACTGGAAGTCTTTTTCTGCATGTGGCCTACAAAATAGACTGGAATTAGCCCACTCACCGTTAAAGTACAGACATTATGGGGTGTGCCATGATCTTGAACAACTTGCAACAGAAACAAATCAACGGTTTTGAATTCTTGAATATGTCCTCTATCACATAAAA